GTATTTCTTATATTTAGTTATTAATATTTAAATATAAATATCTAAGTTCTTAGTGCATGACCAACAATTTTTGTCCTAGTGCTCTCATTTCTCTCATCCTTCCTTTTTTTTTTAGTGCCTAAGGGAAGTCAACCAAATCCATCACTTACTTCTAAACCCTCTTGACAAACGTCTCCTAAACCTCATAACGAGGCTTTGCCTCCCCTTTTTTCTTTGCTTAGTGCTTTCTACATTAGACTATGTCTTAGTCCCTACATTCTTCTCTTTCTATCTTTTTTCTTAAGCGGCTAAGTAAAGTCTATAAAACTCATTTTTCATTGGTGGAAATGCCTTCTAGGCTGACAAATGAGGCTTTGACTCTCTCCCTTTCGTAACACCCTAATTTTCATTTGCATATTCTAGCTTTCAAAATGGAAGAGTTTTCTTGAAAAAAAGAAAAAGAAAAATAATCTTAAAAAATAAAAAAAGAAAAGAATATTCCTTTTGGCCCAGACGAATGTTCCTTTTAGCTCAAGCGAAAATTTTTACTCAAGCAAGAATTTGCGAGTTTTAAAGGGTATTTAAGAGATTTTGACTCTACAAATCCAAGGAACTCTCACTTACTCCTTTCTCTATTCTCCCAGTTCCTTTACTCAGAGAAACCCTTCTCAAGCTCCAAACTTCTTTGAATCCAAGCCCGAATTTCCTTTGCTCTCAACCCCAAGTAAGTTTTTTGAAGCTCAATCTTTCAATCTCATTCTATTTTCCTCTGTTTTTCCTCTCTTAAAGTGTTCTACCTTGTGATATATAGGAAGAACTTGGTCTTTGGACAATCTCTTCCTGAAAACCCTTTATAAAATTGTCTCATTGAGGAAAGAAAAGCTCTATCCCATCATTATAACATACTAGTTTATTTTCTACTCTTGAGAGCATAATGGTGTATTTTCCTTGTTGTGACTGAATATTTGAATGAGATTTTAAATGTTGCAAAGAGTTGACATATTCTTGATTATTCTATTTTAAATGTTGCAAAGAGTTGACGTATTCTTGATTATTCTCTTTATAATATGAAATATAATTTGTTTAAAAATACGATTTGGGCTGAGTCTAGAGGTGTCCAACCTCTAGCAAATTGGTTGATTAATTAATTTTATATGAATGGCATATTAGTGTGATTATGTATCTTGATTTGGAAGTTGAGTATTATTAAAAATGGTGAAATTGTTTTATGATGAGAATGTGATGAAAGAAAAGATATTATGGATAAAAAATAATTAAGGAATTAGTGTGAATAGTTACAGAGATACACTGAGGATATGGAATATGAGGCCGATAGTGGTAATCTAGGGAAAATATAGGGTGGTGAATGACATTCGCCTAAGTGCACACAATCTATATGAGAGTGAATGCTTCACATGGTCTCACACTCATTTCCTGACTAACACATCTACCTATACCTATGCTAAGGGGCTCTAAATTGTAAATGTTGTATTTGTATATAAGGGCTAACCGGTGACTATTCACCTATCTGTGTAAGACCTCATGAAATGCTAAAAGCAACTAATAACTGTAATCACAGTGCACAAGGATGTGCTTATTTGAGAGAGAAACTTATTACTTAGGTGACTCAAGCATATGTGCTTTGATTTGTTGATATAATTATTAGTTGGTTGGTATTATGATATTGAAAACTGCATATGCTTTTAGTGATGAGGAAGGAACTCATCTTTACTAATATTTTTAGAAAACGAGGATGACCGTCATTAGGTTGTCTGAATTGATAATTAGTAGTAGACTTAATTATGTGTTTAGGGAGTAGCAGTGGCTCTGCCATTGTAAATTTGTTATAAATAGTAATGATGGCTCTAGTGTTGTATTTTCTTTGGAAATGACTATAGGGTATAATGTGCCTTTTGAGTACCCTAGTAGTGGTAGGATCCACCACACCCTTTGTTTGTACATATACAAAGGTTTGGCAAGACACCAGATGCAGTGAACTATGTTTATACCTTCTTGGATCATGACTACCATGGAAGACCAACCCAGTTTACCTCAGAACGGGTGACTGACACTGAGGTTGTGGTTGATACCGGAGGTCTTGGAGAAGATGAAGAGTTGACACTGGAAGAGCTAGCTGAGATAGAGGGCTAACATAGTGATGAAGACTAGGGTCATAGTCTCAGTGTTTTGGATTGGTGTGATCTGCTCATTAGAACTTAGTATATTTTGATTTTATAAATTTGTAAATTAAGTCTTAATGTATTTTGAGAAACAGTTTATAAATATTAAACTTAGGTATGTAATGAAATTCAGCTGCGTACCTTATTTCTTTATTGATTCCTATGTAATGATGATTATTAAAGTTATAAATTACATTTCGTTATTCATAAAATCTTTGAAATTTTTATGAATAAACTTATTGACAGGAAAGTTTTATTTTTTATTTTTTACCTCATCACAAATTTTATCTCCGCCTGGTACCTTTTTTCTTGTTTCTGTCTTAATCCTCTCATTTCCCTCCTTCTCTCTTTTTCCTAATGCACAAGGAACGCCGATAAAATATATCTCTTGCCGGCAAAGCTCCTCACAAATGTCTCTTGAGCCTCAAAACTAAGCCTCACGCACTTTTCTGAACAGTTCTTCTAATAGGCGCAATATTCCAACTTTGACATGGTTCTTTTTGAATTCTTCATTTGTTTCTTTGCCGAAAATGTGCTTAGCATATAGAATGTGTAAAAAGGTATTTTTGTCTTTACCAAAGAAGTATAATCTAGTAATTTTTAAAATAAAGATCTATTTTGTTGGTCAACAAATACTTTTGGTTGATTTTGTACAAACCATCAATAAGAGCTTCTTGTTGTTCCTTCAATATATGCTATTGGTTTATATGCACTCTCTTATAGCAGTTAATTGTATATTTAGCATCAAACTTTTAACAAACTAATCGAATAATTATATAAAATTCATTCTACTACTCTTAGTAATTTTTCATATATCAAAATTTTATCAAACACTTTATCTGTAACGTAAATTGTCTTTTGCCTCTAATAAAAACAAAGTTAGAAAAGTAAATTAAAACTTTACTTAAACTTAGAGAATAGAAAGTATATATTAATCATCAATAAAGATGACAGAGACCGTTTCAAAAAATTTTAAATTTTTTGAAAATTAAAATAAAAAATTAAAAAGACTAAAACTAAAATTTGCTAGAATTAAAAACATATGTTTCATTAGTAACTATCTCATGTATTACGTTAGTATTTTTAATTTAAGTAAAACATAAATTTGAAATTAAATTTAGAAAGTACTTAATATAAATTATTTAAATTTATAAAATAATGATAATTAACTTAAATAAAATCGTAAATAATGCAAATATTTAAAATATGAAAAATTAATAAAAAAATTAAATAATGTGATTTGAATAAAACAAGTTTTTGATCCCTTTCATGATTAATAGAATCAAGTCGAACAAACAAAAAGAACCAATTTGGTGGATGCATAAAAGTTAGAAGATAAAAAAAGATTTAGAAAATCAAATGTTTAATTTTGCAAAAATTAATAGGTTTAATTATTAAAAAAATAGAGTAAAATGCTATTTTCATCCTCTAAGTTTAATTTATGTTTAGTAATTTTTTTTTAATTTAGTTATGTCTGACTTCAATTCCATAACTTTTTTCGATTCAGTTTAAAAGTTCCTTTTTTTTTTGTCAAAATTTTTCGTCTCAACCTAAATGAATATTTTGGAAATAACAATGTTTTGAACTAAGTGTGCGTTTTGATGATCTTAAAAAAGTAGATTAATTTTAAAAACTAACCAAGTATAGTTGATTATTGTGATAACCGATTATATTAAATAAATTGTGTTTGGATATGTTAGATGAAAAATAATTTATTGTGCTTTTAAGGTTAGAGATCAGAGTGTGTCTCAAGGTTCATAGAACTCTAAGTCTAATCCATGCTTGCGATTCCTGAACGTTGTTGACCTCAGATAATTTTGCACACGGTTGGGTTCTAACATTGAACATATTGTTAAATAGATAAACCATATACATCTGAACACAATAATCTATTGCTTTGATTGTATAAAACCATTCCTTTTTCTAAAGATCAAATTTATTAAAAAATAGAATATAAAGTGAGGTGCAATAATTAGTTTGTATTTAAAATAATCAAGTCTGAATGATAAATTTAAAAAATAACCAGGAAATAAAATGATAGCTTTTAATCGTAAAACCAAAATTTTACTTACCCTATATAAGTTATTTATTTTGTAATAAAAAATCAAAGATTATAAGTAATAGTTTTTTCTTTTTTTATTCTATCTTCCAACTAAGTGTTCATGTCAAGCAATCTTTCAACGTTAAGGCATGCATTATGAGTCTTTATGTTATAAACATATCATTTATATCATGATTATTTATTTTAATAAATTGAGTAGTTTTAATTTTATTTTTTTATAAATAATATAATGACGTCTTTCAAATAGTAAATATAACTTTGCATACTATCAAGTTATGAACTTAAGACTAGCACAAGTATGGATTGAATTAAATTTAATAGATCATGACATAAGATGTCTATCCTTATATAGTTTGCACATCATGGATAATGATATATTGAATTAACTCATCATAGTTTACATGAGTTAAAAAGTCACTTAATCTTTTACAGGATAATTGAAAAATTAAAAGTTAAACAGAGAATATAAAATATAAAATATTGATTTTTAAAAAGTTTCTTCAGTATCAAGTAAACTAAATTGAACCTTTATAAGGTGTTTCATGCTTTACATTGAATTTAGTGCAGCCAATCGTATTCTTAATACACTGAAAAATAAGATTTGTCACTGATTTTTCTCACACTCGCTGTATCAACTAGGGGTAACATCCATGGCAACCAAGTGCGAGCTATTATCTTCCTATGACTAATGACTTTACAATACATTTACAATAATTGCGTTTGAATAATAGAAGCTCACATAATGGACTTGGCATACGGTAAATGGTAAAGTAAGTGTCTTAACGCCGTGGATAAGAATTTTTCTGCAACGATGAACATTGGTAAAAATCTTGAGCAGTTATATATCCAGGACCTTTGAAACAAATAGATGCGTCTTGAGTTCCATACAGATTACTTCTCAATACAATTTCTTTCAAATTCATTAAAATTTCATGTACTGATTCTTGAATACCTACTATGGTAGAATATTCATGTGGTATTTTCTCCGATTTTGCACGTGTAATAGATGTTCCCTCTATTTCTCCTAGCAAAACTCTTCGCACTGCAATGCCTATTGTATCGGCTTGGCCTTTCATAAGTGGAGACAGAATAAAGCATCCATAATAAAGACGTTTACTGTCTACTATTGATTCAACACACTTCCACTATAGTGTCCGAGTTGATACTCTTATTTTCTCTCGAACCATAGTAATATATATATATATATATTTGATCAAACCCTTGAATTGTTTATTTCTCTTGAAATCTTTTTCATGTTTATTTTTAATTTTACACACGTCTTTTTTTTTGGAGACCTACATCCATTATGTGGCATAGGGGTTACATCCCGTATAAAATTTAATAGTATACCACTTCTACGAATAGCTCTTAATGCCGCATCTCTTCCGAGACCGGGGCCTTTTATCATGACTTCTGCTCGTTGCATGCCTTGATCCGCTACTGTTCGAATAGCATTTCCTGTTGCGGTTTGAGCGACAAATGGTGTACCCCTTCGTGTACCCTTGAATCCACAAGTACCGGCGGAGGACCAAGAAATAACCCGACCACGTACATCTGTAACAGTCACAATAGTATTGTTAAAACTAGCTTGAACATGAATAACTCCCTTTGGTATTTTATGAGCATGCTTACGTGAACCAATACGTCCATTTTTACGCGAACCCATTTTTGGTATAGGTTTTGCCATATTTAATTATTTCATAAAAATAAGTCCGAGATATATGGATATATCCATTTCATTCAAAAACGGATCCTTTACTTTTTTCTAACTAGTTTCTAACTAGAATTCATATTCGATTTATATATATCAATTGTATTTTTATATTAATCGACATCGAATATCTTTCATAGGTACTTTGAAAATTAGACGACGCTTTTCTCCAAGAAATCCAAATCCCCAATTTTTTTTTTTCTATTTGATTTCTATTCATTATTTTCTATATTATTCTATAGAATAGAAAAATGATATCTATATATATATATATATATATAATTCTAATTTTTTTTCTTTTTTTTTTTTCTACAGCCAAAGTTCGACCAGTACTTAGCCAGACTCTTTTTCTCCTATTTAAACCGGGATTTGAAACTAAACTTCTCCTCAGGAGGATAGATGGGACAATTCAGGTGAGATCCAATGTAGATCCAACTTTCTCTTCACTCGTGGGATCCGGGCGGTCCGGGGGGACCACCACGACTCCTCTCTTCTCGAGAATTCATATATCCCTTATCAGTATATGGACAGCTATCTCTCGAGCACAGGTTTAGGTTCGGCCTCAATAGAAAAAGAAAAACAGAGCACCTAACAACATATCTTCACAGACCAAGAACTACGAGATCGCCTCTTTCATTCTGGGGTGACGGCAGGATCGTACCATTCGAGCCTTTTTTTCATGCTTTTCCCGGGGGTCTAGAGAAAATTGCAATCAATAGAATTTTTCAAATCCTTCCTTCCCGAAAGGAAGAACGTGAAATTCTTTTTCATTCCCTAATCTTTTAATCCGCATTTTTTTGTTTTACGCCTAGTAATTCTTCCTCAACCGGGCTTGGGCAGAATAGCAGAGCAAGTAAAGTATTAGTAGCATAGCATGCATTCTTCGTCATTAATATGTTTGCTCGTGATAATTCTGGCCTATATTTATTTTTTTAAGATTAAACAAAAGGATTCGCAAATAAAAGCGCTAATGCTACAACCAATCCATAAATTGTTAAAGCTTCCATAACAGCCAGGCTAAGCAATAAAGTATCCCATATTTTTTCCTCTGCCTCTGGTTTAATAACTAACCAATTTTCTAATTATTATCTTTTAAAATCTTTTCTTTTAATTTGAATATAATTAATAATGTTATATTAATTCGAATATAAAATAAATAATAAAATAATAAGAAATTCATGATTATTATATATACTTTGTATTGCGTTTTTATCCATTCTGTCAAATATACACAACTGGGGAGCTATAAGCAGTATAGCAGACAGAATTCTCTCAGAAAAATGTATCACGTATTAGTCGTGCTAAAACCCGAGAAGATAATCTGCTAAGAACCTCAGGAAGCACCTTAACAGAAATGCCCGGTAACACTGGGAGAAGCTCTTGGATAATCTGAGGAATATTCAGTGCCTATGGCCAACCACAAACAGATAGATAGATAAATGTGTTGAACCTTTTAGCTGAAAAAATTAAACATGCACTTTTTTGTACAAAAGTAAAACGCATGCGTGATGACATTCAACAGTTAATTCTTCATTACCTGACCAGATGTCCTTGATAGTGAACTTCCTGCAGTCAAGAACTCCACCACCTTCTGGACATTATTCAATATAACTTCATCTTCTTCAGTTACAGTTGGTATAAGAGCCGCAGGTTTAAAGGGTCCCACAGTAGGTACCATACTGAAAACAGGGGTTGCATTCTGAATTCCTAGTAAGGACATTATTCTTACCAGTTGTTCCCTCGTTACTGCATCAATGCCCTTAACAATCTGCTTTCCACCAGCAATAAGGTGAGTCAAATATTTAGAAACCATAAACTCCACAAATGCACAGAAGTGAGGAAGTAGCATTTATTCAAACTTCAGTGACTTCATATATTTCTCGTACACAGCATTATTTCTCATTAAGCCCTATAGTATACTAGACTCGTCTGAAAAACAAGACATGAAAAGAAACCAAAGCATAAATTAAATGAAAACATTATATGGTTTTGAGAGAAAAAAAAAAAAAAAAAAAAACTTGAGACTGTCAAGGTAAGGAGTATTGACAATCCAGGACGACTCTTATGGACAATCTGTGTATTTTGGTGTTTTCTAATGACAGCAGAGCATGGGGGCACTGCCTCGAGCAAAATAACCTTGGCACCATGATAGCTTAACAGCAACTGTAAGCACTTGCAGTCATTCCGTTGCTATAACAGTTGACGCAAACTCTTTTAATCCCTGAATACTGTAAACTGTCTTCCCAATAGGTAAGGACACCAATACTGAATAGCCAAGGTATCGCCATCAGCTCTTTCTCATAGGCAGACTTAGACAGGTTGTTCACTTAAAGCCTTGCTGAAGAAAGTTATAGGACGCTTGCCCTGTGTCAGGATCACCCCTATTCCTTGGCCTGATGCGTCACATTTATAGAAAAAAATATTTGCTGAATGTGTTGTGTCTAATGCAGCCTACACTCTATAAATTTATAGAGTTAAATACAATTAATTTCTACTTAATAATCAGGAATCAATCATCCTAATTTCCTAGAATATGTAACTATTAATTTCCTACAAATTTGTAACGGCTAATGACTAATTACATTCTAACAACATTCAATGCTAAAAGGTTGAAAGAAATATGGGTGGATCCTTCCATGCACAACTGTGCCAAATTCACTTGGATTTCAGCACTCATCTCCATCACATGAAAACAAACTTCTGCATGAGATATTCATCCAGTTGGGTCTTCGCCATCAATCATGAATAGCTCTACTTTCTTCACTGACTGGTAGAATTCATCAAGAGCATCTCCTTGTAACCTTTTCGACCTTGACCCATCAGCCGTTGATTGTTTTTCCCCTATAGATTTCTCTGGGCTTTTGGTAAGTAATGCTATTAGTCTCACCTAATTCTCCTATGTGTGTAAACACATCGCCTCCATCACTGATTTCAATCCAACAATTTCTCCTTCAATCACTGCCATTCTACCCTCCATGATATCTACATTGTTTCCTTGCGTTCCCTTCTTAGGTGGCATTCAGCTTGAAAGTTATCCAGCAGGTTGGACCAGTTTGTTACAAATTGAATCCAACACTAAATAAATTAAGAAGAATAATGAAAAAGATGTGAAGGAATATACTCAGTTTGTATTATTGTAAGGTTAAAAAATATCAGTAGGAGTACAATCGCTCCTGCCTAGAGCCTTGCTCCTAGCCTTGCTCCTATACAGAGCTACTGCCTTTATCCATAACTAAGCAAAAGATATTCCTTGATGCCTTCTCACTACAGCCGCCCCTCCCTATAAGGAAAGATGCATCACGTCTTAACTAACTCTTGCTACTGCCTTCTCTCTCTGCTAGTTCATCACTCAATCCTTACTTTCTCCTATTTCTCCTCCTATAAACCCTCCAAATTGTGGGCCTCTTATATGGTTGTAGGATCATAATTTCTTCCTGACTATTTTGGGCCACAACACATTTCACCAAAAAAACAAAATGAAAAATTTAGAAAAACATATTTTGAAAGCAACCTCGTAGGAAGAGCTTATTATAAAAATTTAAAACATGTTTGGAGCATAATAACAAATAAAGTCATTATTCATTTTTTTTTTTTTTTGTTGCAGTTCCTGACTCGTTTATGAGTTCAGGTAGGCATAATAGACACCTATGAATTAGTTTGTGTTAGCTAAAGTGACAACTTTTGAATTTTATCACTAAAACTAAATATAACAGCATTAGCATTCCCAGGATTAAGAGAATGTCTTTACAATTTCTTGAAACATATTTGGAACTGCCACCCTTGTATCAGATTTAACAAAGCAAGCAAAAAATTTGCTTAGTCAAATTAAATATCTTGAAAATTTTTACATATTTAGTGTATTTAATTGTAATTATATTTTTGGTCCCTATAAAAGTAGCACCCTTTGAAATAAGTCCATAGAAAGAAATTTGTTAAGATTTAGTCCTGACATTTTCAAAATATAAAGATTTAGTGTGTTCAGTCAACTGTTCTCTGTAAAGTGCCAAGTTAAATAACGAAAATTCAGCTTATCATTGTCATCATTATTTTCCATATTTTGTTATCTAAACATTAATATTTACAAAAAAAGTCCCTAAAAAATTAATATTATTTTTCCCCTTGGTCCTTCCCTCTTCACCTTTCTTCAACCTATGAAGTCCCCAACTAAAAACCCTAACTCCCCTAACTACATAGAATCATCCCTTCAAATTGGGGAAGTAGCAGAAGCACTCCAAATTGAAACAATTGTCCATTTGGGCACTTCCCATTATTCACAAACTTGATTAGTTTCTAGCATATGCTGGGATTGGGTTATCAAGAAAATAGAAGTTTTGTTGATGCCAAGAGTGCTGGTGTTGTCCATTTCAATGGCAGGGCCAAGCCATGGCTAGAAATAGCTTTTCCACAACTAAGGTCATTGTGGACAAGGTATGTTAACTTCTCTAATAAGTTCATCAAGAGCTATCACATTAGGGCATCATAGCTTATATCTTGAGAAAACATGCATTATTGATAAGTTGAAGAATTGGTATTTGCATCCAAGGGAAAAAGAAAACAAGAGTTCTTCCGATTTCCAACCATTCGGCCTTGACAACAAAGAGACAAAATGATATGCCATGATGCTCCTTTCATGCTTTGATCTTTCTTTCCTTTCAACTCTCTTTCTTCAGTTGAAATTCTCAGATTCTTTTTCCTTCAATCCATATTGTAACTACGAGTAATTGTAGATCATATACAATATATATTGAAACAACATTTTTTTCAAGGAAAACAAACCTGTGAGCTCAAGGTTTTTAACAATAAGCTTTTGTAAGAATGAGGAACATTCCATCTCTCCTTCAGCTCTCCTTCTTTTACAAGAAAATTCTATCTCTCTCCACTCACAATCAAAACCCCATCCCTCACACTTGAAAATCCATCTCTCACACTGGAAAATCACACCTTTTCTTTTGCTTAAGATCCCTCTCTCACCTCCA